TTGTAAACCCACACAGTACACAACAGAAATTGTTTGGAAAGCTTGAGTGGACTTATGCCTTGATTGGATTTTTGTTCGCAGAAACATAGTCAAATTCTATTGACTTGTTCCCATACTGAGCTTCTATTGACAAGCTGAGCACAGAATGTTATGATGGTCACAAAAGAGCAGCTAACCTGACACACTCACTTACTTCACTTGTCACTGCTTGCACATGATGCTTGGTCGCTGTGTTAGTATTAAACAGAGCAACCGAAATGTCTGCTTCTTTTCATTGAACTACTCCAGTCAGGCGATTCGCAACTCAAATTTGTGCGCCTTGTACCTGTGTTCCTGTCTTTCTCTTCAGGAACAAGGGCTAATGGACAGATCTAAGTCAGTTCATGACAGTCATCCTTTATGATACCTAGTTTGAAGTGGGTGCCATTCAAGATGGCCTCCTAAATGTGTGTGGAATTAAAAATCCAACTGCTATGGTGCCTTAAAGCCGAAAGATCTCTTAAGGGGCATGAACAGCAGAGATTTATCAAACAGCCACCAAACAGCCCATTGCCACTGCCATCATTCAGAGGTAGTTCAACCTATCCCAAGGTATGCTTTTCATTTCAAAACAGAACAGAGCTCAACTGCAGCGAGAAATCTGTGCAACAGCTTGTGGGACCAATACATAGCAAACCTCCCAAGGGTTCCAGTCTTATTCCGCATCAGTCTGCATATTATGTACAACAGATGAATATAAAAAAAGCAATTAAAAATAAAATAAAAAAATAAACAGTCCAGTTCCCCACTGTATAACAGAACAATACAATCTTTCGCAAATATAAAAAGGCCACCCTTAGAGTACACACACGCATACACCAAAAAAAGCAAGGAGTCTATCGGAAATTTACAGTGCCATTTTAGACCCCTCCCTTCATGAGGTGGGTTACAAAATGATGCTTAGAAGACAACTAACAAAGAAAGCATGTATCTGCATGTATAGGAAAGAAAGTTTCTTGGTTGCAAAATATAGCCACCACACCTCAGCCCATTCCTTTGTGCCTACTATGGCAATTAATTTGACATTTAATTCAAATTGTATTTTAAACAGTTAGTACTTACTCATTTACATGCAGTATTACATTCAGTTTAAGTCTGTATTGAACTATTCTATATATTTGGTAAGAAAATAGCTTAAAATGGTACTGAAATGGTCTTTATAAAAAAAAAAAATCAGAAATGTTTCATACCAAGACAGAATTCGAGTTTTGTCCCTACAAGTAGAATACAGCAAACAACTTCATATTGTGGCCTCTCACTGTATTCTTTATTGCTATTTAACTCATCCCCCCACTCCCGAAACACACACCCTTAAATCATAACCAGCTAATTCAATCCACTTTCAGTTAACAACAACAAAAAGACCACATTGCTCACATAAATTTAGACTGGGCTAGACTCCAATCGTGTTCTAAACCAAGAGATTATTAGATTGGAGGAGGAGGAGATCATGGGATACTGCGCCCATTACATATTTATTTTAACTGTAGGCATGGCTTTTTTAACCAATTTAGAAATTTGCAAGAGAATGGAACAACTGAAAAAAAATTTTTTTTCAGCCTCTAGATAAATGCAATTGTCAGACTTTTGACCTTCATGTCGCTGTATATTGTTATTCTGCCTTGATGTCCTACTTTAAAACCATGTTCTACACTTTTGCTGGTTTGGCGAGACAGTACCTGTAACTCCCCATGAGAACTACAATTCACAGTTTTGCTTAACCACCAAAGCCAACATGACTGGAGGGCACAAGTCTGACAGTCTCACTGAGGATTAAGTTTCTTGATTTTCAATGGTTCTACAGTGATTGGTTTTTGCTTAAGCCGTTCAAAAAGTAACGCTTTTCCTTTAAGAATTTTTTTTATTATTATTCATTAGAAAAGAAAGTAGTGACAGATCTAGTTAAAAGGAACAACACCTGAACAGCTTAAGCTGCTCTTTGTTGAGATTTGTTCCCAGTCATGACAATCTTTACCAATGAAATGACTTTTCAGATAACTGCGATAAGATAAATTCAAGTATGACAGTTTAAACTTTCTAGGAGCTATTTGATCATCAGGAAAATAAAATCCTTTAATGCAAAGAGGATCACAAACTCCAGAAACGCTGGAAAAATACTTAGTCTGGCAACAAATCTCTTGAAATGTGTCAGTGCCTAAAATATCTGTCACCAGAGTTTTGGCATTTGCTGAAAACGTCAGTAACACTGCTACGGTGTATTTAAAATGGGATTCATGAAAAACCCATTTTAAGATAATATTTATAAATAATAAAGTTTAAAAGGCTGCTATATTGAAATAATTGGACTTATTGAATGCTTAGCATTCAGTTTACTGATGAAAAAGAACTACATTATAATGTTGAGCATATCAATTAAATTAAGAAAAAAATCAAATTTTGTTGAAAGTTTTCTAAAACTTAATCTTAACATCAGTGCCAAATTAATGAGAGAATAACTTTTATCTTAGAAAACCACACAGAGGAATTAGGAATAGTATTTCCAACACCTATTGTTTCGTATCTTCTCACAGTATACTTTATAATCTAGCTATTCAAATTGCTTGTCCTAAACAAAAAGCAGTTACTTGTTTCTTCCCAAATGTGCAGTTCCCTGAAAATAGTTGAAAACTTAATCCTCAGATTAGGAATGGGCTGATTCATTAGAATGTGGATTAAAAGTACAGAAATAATCAGCTGGGTACAAAGATCCCAAATAGCACCAAGCACAACCTTCCTAACATTACTTAAGGAAGGACAATCCAAGATTAATCCAATGAACCCATTCTTAAGTAGATTATGGCATATTTTAAATTGCCTACAGTTAAATCAGTGGTCTTCTAAACAATAGTGAAACCCAGATTGTCAAACTGGAGATGGAAATATCAATGCATGGAAAAAGGTCATTTGTAAAATCAAAATCAGTTTGGTCTATGGGAACTTAAAACGTATGTAGATCTCACAAACTGATGAGGTCATTTTAGCAATAACGGGTGGTACTGGGAAGTGATCTTAACTCAGATGTACCCTAAATACCACTTTGAACTCCATGTTAAAAAACAACCCCTTTCCTCTGCAAGATATTACTTGACCTGTACACACAAAGTGGTCGTCAGTAGGTGCTTTTAAGTTCTCAGTAGTGCTCACAATAAAAAAGGTCAGAATTTAAAAAAACGTTCTTTTCCCACCCACTCCCCACTTGTACGCCCCACAGCGTTCACCAAAGGCTGATATATTCACCAATGCCTTCCCATCTCCTCTCATACCTTCTCTTCACAGTTTTTGGGACTGTTTGGCACAGGCCAGGGGTTTCCACCGGTCTTCCAAAAAAAAAAAACAAGAACACAAGAACACAAGCCGCAAGTCCCACACAAAATAAATAATGAACACTTTTCTTCAAACACATAAGTAAAAACCATCAAAGGTCAAATTCTTTTAAAAGCTTCTTTTTTATACAAACATCGGATTTGTAATTTTTTCTTTGCAGTTTTCTTTTTCTTTTGTTTCGGTTTTTTTTTTAAATGCTTTCTTTTTTTCTTAAATCTCTTGCGCCTCTTGTCGAGTAGTCCATGGGTTTGCTTAGGTTATACATCCAGGATTTCCTCTGCCGTGCCTCCACAGCGCAACCTGTAGCGGCCCGTCCTCCAGCTGATCGTGGGGTCCCACAGCGCCGAGAGAAAGATCTGTATCGTCATCGATTCCCGGATGAACCAGGCCACCGCGTAATCCAGCTTGGAGAAGCTGAGAGGTCCGCCCTTCGGGAGGAAGACAAAAGGAACCATTCAGCATCAGCACAGTCCCGGGAAACTAACACTGGGAGTAGCTGGACATTGAGTATGTGAAACCCCATTTACCCTCTCGATGATGACAACTGAAACAATTTAATATAGTGCTTGTCCTATGAATTTAAAAGCTTTGAAGTTCCTTGCAAGCACACGGTCTCCTATCCCAGAGAGGGGAAACAGGCCACTTGTTACCTACCACACACAAATTGTACATTTTTTCTTCACTTTCCCATTTCTGCATAAAACTAGGCCATACACCCTATGTCCTCAATGTTATCCTGTCATGTAATATGGAACTATTGATAGTGTGGATGGAAAGGAACTGAACTTTCCTGGGGATTCTTATAAAGCACCTACACTAACTGATAAGGCACAGTGCAGAGGAACCTACCAGTGAAAGAAACGTGTTATTAAGGAGTGTATAATAACACTCCTCAAACACTTTAAAAAATCTGGAAAATGTACAGAGAGGTTGGGCAAGGATGCAATACTGCTTCACTGTAATCACTGGATTTACTCATTATCACACAGAACACAAGGATTTCCTGATTTATAAAATACTACTGACATGGAAGATGATCCTAAGTGCAATAGGAGCCCAATATTTGCTCTTTTTATTAGAAAAGCTACATATCTACTTATCAGGTTGTACTTGACTTAAGGTATATACATTTTTTTTTTCTTCAAGCATTTACTTATTCACACTGTACAGTTCTGGAAATACGATTGGGGAGAACAGGAAGTGTGACTGCAGATTTTTCCCGGCTTATACTAGTAAAACAAGAGTGGATGTATGGATTTGGAGACTGTGAAAGCTGGCACATTAAATATTAATCAGTAAGTGGAAGAAAGTAATCCCATATTTAACAAGTAACAAAACAGGCCTCCTCCCAATCTAAAATACTGTATATACTGTACATATTAACACAGCTTACCTCACTAGCACCCACAGACCATGTATACTTGATTAACACTTACATAGAAATCAGTGAAAAAGACTAACTTTATTATTGAAAACATTCATATTTTTAATAGTTTCAAACTCCTAAATTAATGCCAAGACCCTTGGAAGTGTAACAAGCTATGTCTGCGAGCTTAGTTCACTTTCAATTAGAAAGCTAGTATGTGAATGCAGACAGATGTCAAAAGAAGAGATCTTTACCTGGACTCCCCTGAGCTGTATGTAATCGGAAATGAACCACGCCAAACAGTGGCACATGAAAAACACCATTATATCCCATCGGAACACATGGTGAGCTGCCCATCCAATAATGAGGCTTGCCACAAAACACTCCGATATCGGCTCGCAGACAATGGTGGCTGGGAGCATGTTGATGCGCAACTTGGCCCACCTGCAAGCGAAGCAAGAAAACATCAAACCTGGGCAAGGGGGAAACTTTAAAAACAAAAATGGCTTGAGCGCACGGCCCAAGGTGAATTAAAAAAAAAAACTGACGCTCTTTCACCTTTTTGAATTTCAATTCAGGAGCTGGAACGATATTTTTCTTTGCTTTGGGATCTTAAAATTTACACTATGAGTTATAACGCTAACGCAAATTTTTAAAACTGAAATTTTAGAACACTGACACTACGTTCTGGTGTTGGAGCATCTCGGTTTTCTGATATTTGGATCATTTAGTTGAATTAGCTGCTCTACATGACCTTTATCCCTGGGCCATTAGTTGCTGTTAACCTATGAAACCTGTGTTATGCTACTGCAGACAGTATAAGGGTTTTAAAGCATTTCTGTCCACATTTACATCCAAATAATTTTTATTCATATTTTATGGTCATAAAATGCTCATTGTTACCACAATGTTCTAAGTACCTAATCATGCGAGACTGGAACTGCGCAATTGAGTAGGAGCCCGAGTTCTGCATTGCTACCTGAGTGGCCATGGAGAATTTCCATCCCCTATGAGAAAAAACATACATTAGTACAGAGTCAAACTTTAGTTTAAAAACAGATCAATTTACATTTTGCCAGTTTTGATGTGATGGTATTTCACTGTCATGACATGCTGTACTATGAAAGGAGCAATGACCAGGTAATGCAAACTGTAGTCTGCTGTACTCCTACAAAGGTGCTTCAGTCCACAAGCATCAAACAAAGACATAAACGACCAAAGTGAGACTGCAAATTCACAGCTGTAAAGCATCTTTCTCCTTGCTGGCAGATGAGAAGAGAACTGTAGATGTCTGGGCATTCACCACAGCTGTATGAAAATCCTATAAGATCTATCAATCTAGATCAGGGGTATTAACATACTACAACCCCTAATCAATTACCTTTTTGGATTTTGGCACAACCAACTTAATCCAATAATAAAATGACAGCTTATCAAAGAAATGGCAAAATATCGAGAGATGTCCAAAAACATTTGGAAACAAAAAAGGAGCAAGATTTTCTAGTCATTTTTTTTACAACAGATCTGAAACTCCAGGACCCACAGGATAAAACTGAAAACTGGTTATCCAACTGAAATATTTTGAAATTGAATATATTTAAATACCTTTAACTACAATATGAATACATTTGCATTATTCCACTTTTATGGCATTCCTACTAAACATCAGGAAATGAAGGTGTCATATTAATTTTAAGACATTGGATTTTAGGTATAATGCTGACTTCTTGGTGTGGCACCACTAAATGACTGAATGATTTTACTACATTCATATGGTCCCAATTTGACTTAAATGTAGAAAACCTTTATAGAGAAGGGCAACACACAAGAGAGAGCAGAGGACCTAAAAGAAAATGGAGATCACTTGTTTTCAAGAGGTATGCTCTATGTAAAAACAACTGTGAAACCAGCAGGTGATTTGTGACTTTTTTTTTTTGCTTGGGAACTGGCAAAACAAGTTTAAACAGATCAAGTACATAGCTGTGGCTGAAAGGGCAGCAAGAGTGAAGAACCTCCATACATAGTGTGCAGGGTGTGAATCATTTTTATCAGGGAATGTGTGGCTCTTGAAGCTACTGTTCTGAACATTGACAAAAGACCTCTTGAGACTTCCAGTCTAGGGCTCCAAAGTTTGTGAACACAATTAATGAGGCACTACTCTACAGTTATAACCTGTACCTTCCTTTTCTTGAACAGAATCCACAAGGTGCAGTTAGGTTTTGTTCTGGCTAAGCTGGCAATGCCCCGATATAGACCATGCACAACATTATAGAGATCGGTGAATTAAAGTTTCCTTTACCTGTCAGCAATGGCTTTGGCCATGAAATAATCCTCTGCAATGTACTGGGCGAATGCGATGAGCCCCCCTGCTTGATCCAACACATCTTTCCTCATCAAACAGGACATGCCAGTCACACACTTAAACCCTGTGACATTAGCCGAGATGTACGAGCGAGGGTGAGACGTGCCAAAATATACCTGAAAAATAAAATCAGGTTTAGTGAGTAGCTCTAAACACTTAAATCCAGATTAAAAAAATACGTATAAATGCAGGCCACGCACTTGGGAGTGGCTGCACAACACTGAAAAAGATTACAAAGATAGATAACAGGAACTTACAGTGCTCTTTCAATTTTTTTATACCATGGAAAAAATGAATAAAACCCAAAGAAATATGTAGCTGGGGATAGTGTATCTCAATGAAAACAAATGTTTACTGAATTTCAGAAAGTTAAGCTTGTCATAAATAATTTAACTCCAGAAAACACCAATGTTTTGTAATTGTGTATTATGTAAATGATCCTTTGGCATGAATTAAACAGACAACTTCTGTAGTGTGCTTTTATGTCCTGGCAATCTGTGATTTCCATTGGTAAGCTTCGTTTTTGAGCCACGAAAGTTCAATTGGATTGAGGAGCTCAGTTGAGAACGTTTATTTATGTTCCATTAATTTGGGCAGATACTTTGGATGACTGCAATGTTGAAATCTCAGTTTTTGACCAAGCACAAGAAGCTTATGCTCTTATGCTATCCGATTCCTAGAAAAAAGAATTGGATACTTGGCCTAAATGTCCTCATACATGATGGAAAGTACAACTGGCTCCAATTTTCTCTATAGGGCTTCAAGACCCATAGTTGAAATCAACACCAAAACATTATAGACCCCCTGTCATAGCAAGCATGAGACTTTTCAAAACCACAAACTTCACCTGTTTACACCTAACCTAAAGCTAATCAGCATATCCAAAAAAAAAACAATTGAATTTGATCAAACAATAAGATGTCATTCAGATGTAGCTGGAAAATCGTGTCACCTCAATTTATTAGTTTGTGTTGGAGATCCTACGGTCGACTCCTGAAACCCTTGTCTCTCAGAGCTGGTTTCTGTGTATCGAAAGGACCTGACAAGTGTTTTATGCCACCATGGGCTAAGCTAAGGAAGTGTAAACAAGGCAAGTATCCCTCCAGACTGACAGGGCTCTTTTTCTCCAGATCATACCGGTTGTTGTTTGGTTTTCTCATGGGCTACCAGCACCAAGAAGACACAGCTTGTGACAGCAGTATACTTTGTGTTTGTCCTTCCAAATAAAGGGGTTTCACTCTATTTATTGTCAAAGCTAGTCATGAACAAAAGCATGAAGTATGCATATAAATTAACATACCTGAGGTCAAAGGTGACTTACAATTAGGTTTTAATTTCTCCTTTTTGTAAACTAGGATTTTAAACTAGTTTGACTACAAAAAATACTGCCAAAAGTATTCTAGCTTGTGATTTGTTTTTATTAAATGAATACAATTCCTTCAGGCCATTAACTCACATAAGCCAAGCAATTACCAAAAAAACCTTTTTGCTAAAACCATAAATGCTTATTGTGCTAGAAAATGGCTCCGCATTTAATATCATGTTAAACTTACAGAAAATCCTTGTCATTAAATTTAATCAATGAGTTCTAGCACTATAAAAGTGATTCTGGTGCCTCTCTCCCCTGGCACTTGGAGCTAAGTACACATTGCTTAGCTAGCAATTAAATATTCTAAATAGTTAAACAAGGTAAAAGATATCTGCATGATTCATGAAGTAAACAGATCCACCTACAGATTAGAAAATACTAACCAACTGGCAAATCTGCACAGAAATATCATACAAGTTCTTAATATGAGCTAATTTTACTTTTTTTGATGTGGAAGTCCTGATTTAAATGTGTTGTTCTCAATAGCTAACTAACCTTTACTCTTATTTAATTATACCAGTTTTAAAAACCAAGTGTGAGCTTTTTCGAGAGCAATAACGTGGATTACAACCTCTGAACTTAAAATGCCCAGGCCTTAAGCAACTTTACATTCATATTTAAAACAAATAGTATCTGTCAATCAATCTCAGTTAAGAACTTTTTCATCCTTACCATCCAAATTCAAGACCTAGATCTTTAGCAACTTACTGGAGTGAATTTCTGTATTACAGTCCTCCAACAAGGCCAGGTTTATGACAGGGTTATTTTTTTAATACATGAGAATTTAAGGATTCCAATTATGCTGTTAGAGTGACTTGACCTCTGACCTCTGACTTCACCCCTTCCATAAGTCATTTGGTTTCCTGCACTCTGCTATATGTTGTAATAACATCCACTCAAAAAGCTGCAGGTTTGTGGTCTTTGGACAGGGGCGACACGCGCTGCCTTCTTCTTCTCTGACATGCTTACTTCAGCTGATGTCAACCTCAAGGTTTACACACAGGCAGTTCTGTGTGTGTTCTGGGAATAACTAACGAGAGGAGGAAGCACCTCTTACCTGTTCCAATGTGGCAGCAAAGCCCTGCCGATCCGCTACGTAAGGAAGGCCGTGGACCAGTCCCACCTTTTCAGTCATCTGACTGGCCATATCAGTCAGGGTGTCTGGTTTCACTGCGAAACAGCAAGAAGAGCGTCAGACATTTTGCACTCCATCAGCATGTGCACGCATGACTGGACATTATTTTGCAGAGGCATAATGAGTCATGTAAGTGCACAATTAAGTACAAGAACAGAAAATTCTACCCGTTTTGCGTCAGAAATTATTTACTGAAAGAAATATCTTGAATTGTGTGAGGTTTCGTTGCTTAAAAGATTTTTTTTTACAAGGAGTTTCATGGATTAGAATAATGTCTTGGCTGTTAATTGTTTGTGAGTCTCTCCTTCATTCTGTAATCCTTAAAAACAAGCTACAGTATATTAAATACGGGGAACAAAGAATACATTTTCTAATGCACAACTACTTGTGTTCATTATTGTTATTTGCAATGTAAATTTTAGCTTTATCAAGAACAAAAAACATTAACAGAAACTGAGTAAAACTTTGAATGGGTGAAATTCAAACCACTGCGCCCAGCACCCACAAAATTTTCCACTGATCTGCTCAAGCCGTCTGCTTTACTAACACAAGAACATTTTTCTGCAGTCTGTCTTTTTACTGTGGTCACATTCATGCACTTGATAACAGTGATAAGGCTTTTAATTTACAGCGTAATTCTTACCCCGTATTCCACTGTCGCAAATCCACACCAAGTCATATTTGGCCACTTCATAACCTGGCATGAGGTTGTTTATTTTAGGGTTGATGCCCACTTTCTTACCACCTTCAAAAGAAAAGCAGCTGTTATTGCACCCAAAAGCAGATCAATAGACTTCCTCTGCATCTCATCTTAAGGATAAAGCCCATGCTGTCAATTGGCAACCCTGAGTGAATCAATGGCTCTTTAAGTGCATGCATCAAGACTAGCTACTGCACTTCAGTCACCAAAGAAGCTTAGGGTTTCATTTTTAATTCTTCAAATCAGACACTGTAGTTCTGTACTGTACTTGCCTTAACACACTGTAAATATATTATTGTACTGTACACGAGAAGGTCAATGTCCTTGGATTAAGACCAATAACAGCTTCCCACATGCAGTGTGAAATAAACAGACTGTCTATCCATCAATTCATTATCAGAAGGCTGAGTCCAGGTAAGGCTCCTAACCTATCCTGGAAGGGCACAAGGTGGAACTATACCCTGGTAGGACAGTAGTCCATTCCAGGGCAAACGCACACTGATGCACAAGCTCACAATGACAATTGAGAGATTCCAATTAACCTACACACCATGTCCTTTGAAGGTAGGGGGGGAACCAGACCACCTGGGGTCAACCCACATGGACACGGGGAGAATGGGCAAACCGCAGACAGGAGGCAGCCGAGTCTGCGATCAAACCTAGGACCCAAGAGCTGAGAGCCAGAGGTCTTTACTATTCCACGACCATGATATCCAAAAGTGAGTGCACCATCCTGGTGGAAAATCTGCAGGTCAGGTGAGTCACTGTCCACTCATACAGTCATTATTCCTTGTAACTCGTATTGGTGGTGTATATTTGCCAAACTCTCTGCATTATCAGGGAATGCAGTTGAAGACATTTTTTAACAGATCAGAAAATGATGTACATCTCAATGCACCACGTGGGCTTGGATTAAATTAAAACGTCAGATGCCCATTATAGGCTCAGTTCTTAATGGCAGCTTTCCATTAGCCAACGGCTGCTTCTGTTATGCAGTGGTACATAACCCATTAAATTCTGTATTCAAAATGTGGAATTGAGAGGTGGGTGGAAATTTTGACTAAAACTGGGGCCTGATTTACTTAGTGCTTCATGAAATGAGATAAAATGGTCCGAATGAAAGGTTTTATGTTTATGGTATGACAGTCTTCCTGCAAAGGGACTGAATCAGAAAGTGCAAATATTTATCTGCACTTTATCGGTAAATGACTAATAGCATATACAGGTTCCAGTTATCACTTAAAATTAAACAGCCAGACTTTTCAGAGATCTTTGACTTCCATTGTTGAAATTAGCAGCAAAATTCCAAAGATGCCTATTTAACACTTTCCTGATAACACACGGAAACAAAACACTATGCACTGAGAATTACTGTGGTGAAAATGACAGGACCTACAAGTTAACGGGAACAAAAAGCCAGAATTTCTTAACATGCTGAAAGTACATTTTCTTGGCATATGCACGGACACAGCACTGCCAAAACAGAAGGTATATTCAAATTTTTCAGAAAAACTAGCAAAGAAAGCAATTTATTGCTATTAAGCTCTTTCATTCTAAACAGTAGATGTTGACTCTTCTTGAGTATTAGGCAGACCTTGTTATCACAGACACTTACCTTTTCATTTTGTAGAGAGAAGCAAGCCATTGTGAAGTTACAAAGAAATCTAGATAGTAAAATATTATACTTGTTGATTTATAATCATTTAAAAACAACAACAAGAGGACAATCAAAGGACAATTAAAAGACTCAGATATAGCTTCTTGATTTTTGTCATTTTGACATTTATATCCTCACAAACTCAAACTCCCTTGTATGCATCACTTTTACGGGAATGTTCTTACCTATAAATAATCTGGCGTCCACATTTGGATATTTGCCCAGCAGCTTTTTGCAGACATCAATGGCTGGATCATCGTGATCTTGAACACATAGGAGTATTTCATACTGGAAAAATTTGAGAATAAAGAAAACCCTTGTTAACCTCAGACTTGCTAACCTAACACTTTTGTTTCTACTACAAAAAAACACCAAAACATAAACAAAAGATACAAATTTGGAGCACATTCAAGCTTTCTGGGAACATTTCTGGGCAGTGAAGTGCAACACTGTCCCTTATTACTTAGACTGTAAAACATAAAAAATTGCCAGATTCCCTAGTGCCTCTATACAAACAACTTCAAAGAAAGCCCGTGAATCAGGTAATTCTTGATTTACGCTCTCTTAATTTGTGCATTTGTAGTTTTGCGTGCCTCAAGAATATAGATTGCTTCTTAACTTAAGACGCTATTACTTCTCACTTTGACATTCTTGGGCACAGCAAGCTACAGGCACCTTATTGAGAAGAATACACAGCTGTGTGCTGGGATGAACAGTGTCCCTTGGGTGACACACAGGCTCTTTCAACCGCATTTATCTCCCATCATCTCACACTTACTAAACAAATCAAAATTATTTCCCTGTCCTAGTCTGGACCTTTTGTTTATATTGCAAAAAAAACAAACAAACAAATAAGGATATTAATAAAGCACTAAACGAAGTAAGCTACTGTGAGTGGGAGGGGGGGATTCAATTAAAATCAAAATCTAGAGCAAAGGATCAGTTCAAAACACATTGTTATACCTAGGAACAGCACAAACTGCTCTTTCTACAAGAGTAAGGATGCAAGTCATGGAGAAACATTTCTGTTTAAAAAGAGTGCCTCTTTAGAGATTCAGTCGTGGCAAGACCAAATCAATTAAAAATCCCCTTCTCTCATCACCAGACGTAAGAAGACCATGATTAAGCAGGAAATAGCTACTGGCATTCCAGGGCCAAAGTGTATTAGACAGAAACTGTCTCTCAAAACTTTAAAGGTATAGACCCAACTTTGAACTAGAGGCGAATGCAATAACTTTTAACATGAAGACTAGCAAGTGAAACTCACCTAAGCATTTGCTGACAAAGTGTAACACTAACAAAATGTGATTAACTTAGGGGCCTTCTTTGGGAAGGGCCTGCAGCTGAAGCCTGAAGCCGGGAAGGCGAAGATGAACTTAATGGAAATTCAATATGAATCGCGTCAATACCTTTTTCCATTCTAAAGTTTGGCTGCAGGATTCCAAATAAAACATGTCAGAGACAAGTTTCCACCTCTTTATTTTTGTTTGGGTTTCCTCGACATTTTCTCACTTGGCTTAAACTCACTCTGTCCTGTGGTTGCCAAACCCAGAATGTACAACGGGAAAAAAATCAACACATCCTTACAGAATAGCTATTCTCATTTCTACAAAACGGAACTCAAAAAAGGTCAGATTGTAGTCAACATCATCATTTGCTAACTGCTTACTTCAGGTGTGGGATGTGGTGGTAACTGGCTGAACAGATTAGACCAGACTTCTCTCTCCCTGGCAACAGTCCCCAGCTCCTCCTGAGAGACTCCCAGGCCAGCTGAGATATGCAATCCCAAGAGTCTCATCACACCTTGGATTGAACACCCAAACCAAATACATAAAAGCTGCTGCTACAAAGATTTTTGAGAAATAATGGGAACTATTTTTCCTAGAAGAGCCTCATACTATTTCTATTTACAGTACGTTTACTTCATGTTAAAAACATGACACACAAAGAATACATTTATATTTTAATTAATCCTTTTTCTGAAGGTCAGATTTAAAAAGTTCTAAGAAAAATGTAATGGCACTTCTGCTACCATGCTTAGAAAAGAAGGAAGAGAAATACAGCCTTCATAAAACATTCATGATTCATTTTTTGATTAACTGAAAATCTCCTCAAATTTACAACTATCTTGTCTAATTCACAGATCAGACAGTTGGCAGTACTGTATACATCATATGAGAAAACTGTTAATATCAGAAAATATTATCTGCTTTGTCATTTTTTTAACACGAAAATAAGCATAAACAGTTTATTTTGCTTTTTGTTCTTTTGTTCCAAGGCTGGTCTAGGAAAAAATAATCCACATTTTGTCTTCCAAATATTTGCAGAGGCCTTTTCGTATATCTGTATTTGGTGTTTAATTCAAGGTATGATTACAGTGTTTGTGCAACAAACACCAAAATTAAGAATTTGGAAGCACATAAAAAAGAATCAGTAATTTAAGCTAATTTATTTAAACAACAATGAAAAGTGGCTCTTTGCTCAGGGTTGGGCTTACGTTTTACAAATGAACCAAATGTTTTTTTTTTAAAGTATTTAGCACAATTTCTTCAACTGCATGACATTAGAAACCCACGATATCCATTGTAAGGCATGCTACATTATTGTTCATTTAAATCATTAATCACTCCCCTCCTGTGCCACAGAAATAAAAACACAGGCTGGCAAATTTAATCTCATGCTAGATATGTAATATAAATCCAGCACAATCTATCATTGTCAGCACAGAATCAACAACAACTATTGAGCTGAACAGTTAACGAGTTCCTGTTATTCTTGCTCAAACAGTGCCATTAAACTTTGCAACTCCTTTGAAAATGGGGCGGATGAATACTTCGGAGTCAGCATTAAGCTCTTACGAAGAACATGACATATTTTTGAAGACGGCATTCTTCCCAACATTCAACTGGGAATTTGTACCAACCAGATAAGCCAGCGTTCAAACACAAATTGTCAATGCTAACACAAATCTCCGGGCTTGATGAGAACTAGTAAAAGTTCAGTCTCTGAGCAGCCCCAGCTGACACACTGAAAGCAAAAGCACAGTACAAGCAGAAAAAAGTTGCATGCCAAACTACAAGTGCTGCCTCTGGTGAGGAGATGGTATCTTACCAAAATACATTACTGATTTATGAGGCAGAGCTTTTCCCCAGCCACACCTTTTCCTCACGTCATTTATGACATGTAAAGACAGCCAGGAAGTCTAAGGCAGTACTTTAATCGGACTTGTAGACTGGCTAAAAGATCAGCACACTTAAACTATAGTTAAGTGTGTCTGACCTGTCACACTATGTCAATATGACAGATTTTCAATGACCCACTGCTTTCGATGATTTCAGAATTCAACGGCACCCTATTTCAATGTACAGCAGTCATTTAAAAAAAACATCCCTGAAGCACCTTTATGGAATATGCAGCAAAGCTTTAAAAAAACTGACTAACGGCTATGACAATACCACGATCATAAACACTCTGGTCAGAATTCATGATGGGTTTCATTGCTTTTCAGTACTAACACAACAGGTGTGAATCCAGCATAGATACCCAAGAATGAATGTTCTTGTCTTGGACCTAAGGAAATCTTTAGAAACCTATCTAAAAATGTCACAATGTTCGCACCATGCATATCTGCTTCTTTAAAGGGAAACTGCAATGCTATTTTTATATACAGGGGTTAGATAGAATCAGCTTCAATGAGTGCATTACAAACCACAATGAAAGCAAAATGAATAATGTAAATGTGTGATGTACAAAACTTCCAATTTATATGACAAAATAGATTAAATTTCCAGTGCAGTGTCATATTGTCATCATTGTCTGCAATTCAGAACGAGGCAACAAAACTTCTGGTGGCATGAAGCAGCCCTATTACACTGTAAACAAGAGGCTTCTGAATACCTTCAATCTGATAGAAATATTGCTCTAGGCATCGAGAAGGTTTTGTCAATAAGTACTACTGACTTGTTAACGTGCATTAGAACATTGCTGCAGTGACATTTCTGCTGCACAGCCAACACATCGCACTACATTAGTCATTACAGTGACTAGTGAGCAGGAAGGGTCACTTTAAGTCACAGTTCTCGCTAACTCGAGATAGAATGGCGACTATACAGTACTTTCACAAAGTTCAGCATGTTGTGCCTAATTTGGAATTTGTCAAATTTTGCAATATCGTCAATTTGTTTATTTTCGTTAGCAAGATTTAATAACTAGTCAGAGAAACTGGGACAGGAGTTCCCCCTTTAAAATTGCATGACACAAGAGGTTTTGATAACTTTGAAACACTTCAAACTAATACAGCTATGGCTAATGGTAAACGGCCTTCCACAGCTAATGCTTGTTTGGTTCCCCCTCTGTCTCAGTGAGCTTTCAATCCCATTCACTTAAAACTCAAACAGGGGAAAAGTACGAATCAGAAAAGGGTTAACTTGTTCAGGACCTTGAACATTAATTTAACTTCAAAAGCTAACTTGATCATATTTGTGTTAGGAGGTTACATTAAGAGGGGTTGAAAAAGAAAGGAACTATTTCGTTGGAGCTCAGCCTCAGCAGTGAACTTGTTTAAACTCTGGAAAACTAAAGCGGCTATCTGATTTCCAGCAACTGAAGAGTTACCACCATTCATTTTGCACTGCAAAGTAACATACAATGTACACAGAA